CACCCAGTCCCCTCCCAGCAAACCTGGTTTTCCATCGTGGAGCGGTGGAGACAAGGTAAATCCTGTTTTTTCCACAGTAATACCGTGTCAGACAAACGACTGAGGTACCAGTGCTGTGCCTTCTGTTCACTCTGGTGATTTGTGGCTCAAATTATCATGTAAGGGTACTGTTTAAAACCACATTTTGTTCCATCGTGCATCTCCTGAACATCATATCTCCCCTGTACTAATAACTGTGGAAACGATGAGGGGGCCTTTTAAAAGGTTTTTAACCACATTTCCCACATACTTTCTTCGTGCTTAACTAAAACCACCCTGTGAACAGCAAAACTCAACTTTGGATGAAATTTCCTTCCCTGGGAAGGGTTTAACTTGTGCCACAGAAGTGGGGATAAATTCTATTATAATATAATCCGACTACAGTCATTTTTTAAGCGATGTTTAAAATACAGGGGAGGGTGTTGAAAGTTAATGTATCACTAATATAGAAGGAGAAGGACAAGAACTAATCTATGGTTTTACCTAGCCAGAAAAGCACCTGCAGGGCAGCAGGAGGTGATTGGCAGCATCCCTGTGAGCTCAGCCCCAGGAGCAGCCAGGGGCTGAAGGGGTGGCAGTTCCAGCCTTTGTGCCATGGCCACCACCCAGTCCAGCCACCGACTGCAATTGCCAACCCAGTGGCTCTTTCCTGATCCTCCTGGGCAAACGGCCAGTGTCTGTGAAAACAAAACCAGTTCATCCTGGGCACAATAATATCATTGCACTTTTCAGATGGGAATACATGCAAGCTGATGACTTCGAGCTTGACTGCAGCATGTCCTGCAGATTCCAGGCACATCCGCAGGAACGGGTGTTTCTGTCCTGCCTGATACAGAACAGTTTTTAGGCAGAAATACAGAAAGGCTGTGCCTGGTTCTTCTTGCGTGTTGGATAATGTGGTTAATGGCAGCCCTGCCACTGGGTATGAGGGTGTGTGTCCCTGGCTCACCTAGAACTGATGTATTGTTGCATTCTTAAAAACCAAGTTTATTAACAACTGGTCTCCTCCTGCTCCCTAGTCAGCTTTCCATCTCTGAAATAACTCGCATAAGAACTTTTTCACTAACTCAGTGTGTAATGCTCCTCTCTGGAATTGTGGGAACAGGACAAGGTATTGCTCCTCTGGGAAAAAAAAGGAAACATGTCTGTCGTTTTTCCTAGAGTAAGAACTTCTAGGTTCTTCCAGGGTATATTTTGCATAAATAAAGAAACATTTATCAGAAAAATACAAACTTGGTTGCTTACAGAAGACCATGTGCATCTTTAATAATAGTGATGAGGTAGGGGTGGAGGTGCCTCCAGCTAGAACAGTTTTCAAACACCCTTGATCTGGCAGCTACAGTGGCTTCAGTTAGATGCAGTGATTGACCTCCTGTTGCACTTCTGGGCTGCCTAAAACTTCCCCTGAGGTCTGTTGGCTTCAGGTGCAGTCCAGGGTGTGTGTTTCCTGCTGTGCTGTGAAATGTATGGTGACCATATGTAAGTAGAACAGCTGTTCTTTGGGGACAAATTGCCTTTTTATTGGTGTGGTTCACCTGGCAGTTAGTAGCAGTTCTCTTGGTGTCTTCAGCAACATTGCTGCAATAGCTTCTGATGATACATGGGTCTTCTGTTGTGGACAAATGGAGGTTGTGAGCTTGATAAACTGCCAGTTTTTTTATTGTCAGACCACTTGAACTTGTGGTGGACTCGAGACCTTCAGTGTTGGCTTCCTTAAGTTTTCGGAGCTCTTCTGGGCTTCATGAAGTGCACCATTCATCATTGTCATCTCCTGGGGTAGAAGAATAAATAAGGTCAAGCAATAAATACCAGAGGGTGCATGTATCACACTCTGTAAGAGCCCATCTCCCTTGGGACGTGCTGTGATGCCTGATGTCAGAGAGTGGTAGAAGTGACCAGCCAGGACCCCGGGCCTTATCCCAAAAAACTGAGGAAAAATAACTGCGTTCTTACGTATCCCTTAAGTTGTCTTCATGTTTGTTTGTGGTGATTATCGACTGATCTGAAGGAAAAACTTGCAGTGTCTAAGTTGACAAGCTGGAGTGTTAACCCACGCCACAAGTTGATACAAATCCTACTCTGCCGCGGCCCACGCACCCCTGTTGATTTGTAGCTCAAACCTGACAAACAGCCCATCAGGGTGCTCACGTTTGTGAGCGGTATGTGCTGGATCTGGCTGGATCCAGTGCCAGATTTGGAAGGGCGGTGGAGGAATTTGTGGTTCCTGGCAGTCATTTTTCACCCCCCTCCTGAAGTACAGCAGCTGGTTGCCAGATGTGTGCAGCGTCAGCATGCTCACACGTGCGAAACAGGTAAATGGGGCTACCAACCCTCTGTTCCTGAGATGTAGCAATTGATCTGCATCTCCAAACCCCACCACAGCATCCTTGGTCCTTGAATTCTTGGAGAAGTTCCTACCATACTGCCCGTTTTGACCCCATGTGGAAACGTGATAGGTCAGGACATACATCTGGCTCTGACGGAGATGGCTAGTTGTCAGAATCTAAGCTTGCCTTCTTGTTGTTCATGTTCAGATATAGGGGAGTCTGCACCATCTGGCTCTGACGGAGATGGCTAGTTGTCTAAGCTTGACTTCTCATTGTGCATGTTCAGATACAGGGGAGTCTGCATTGATTAACTGTGGTTGTTCTAGGTCATTTAGCCCATCAGCACAGAGTCCTCCAGACCTCAGAAGAGGACCTGGGGGTGTTGGTCGACAGCCGGCCTGAATATGAACCGGCAGTGTGCCCAGGTGGCCAAGAAGGCCAACAGCATCCTCACCTGTATCAGGAGCAGTGTGGCCAGCAGGACTAGAGAAGTGATTGTCCCCCTGTACTAGGCACTGGTGAAGCCCCACCTCAAGGGCTGTGTCCAGTTTTGGGCCCCTCACTACAAGAAAGACATTGAGGTGCTGGAGCAGGTCCAGAGAAGGGCAACAGAGCTTGGAGACCAAGTCTTGTGAGGAGCGGCTGAGGGAGCTGGGGGTGTTCAATCTGGAGAAAAGGAGGCTGAGGGGAGACCTTCTTGCTCTCTCCAACTCCCTGAAAGGAGGGTGTAGCCAGGGGGGGTTGGTCTCTTCTCCCAAGTCACAGGCAATAAGACAAGAGGAAATGGCCTCAAGTTGCACCAGGGCAGGTTCAGATTGGATATTAGGAAAAATGTTTACATTGAAAAGGTTATGAAGCCTTGGAATGGGCTGCCCAGGGAGGTGGTTGAGGCACCATCCCTGGAGGTGTTCAAAAGCCGGGTTGACATAGAGCTCAGAGACATGGTTTAGTGATGGTTTTTTTGTCAGAGTGAGGTTGATGGTTGGACTAGATGATCTTGAAGGTCCCTGCCAACCTAGATGATCCTATGATTCTGTGATTCTAAAGTTTGCTCTGCAATAACTCATTCTGCACTTCCTTTGTTTTATATTCAAAGTTCATTCTCACTGCTGTCAGATGAAGCAGCCCCAGTCCCCCCAGGGGGGGTCTGTCTCTTCTCCCAAGGAATAGGTGATGGGACAAGAGGAAACGACCTCAAGTTGCACCAGCTGAGATTTTGATTGGGTATTAGGAAAAATTTTTGCACTGAATGTTATTAAGCATTGGAACAGGCTGCCCGGGGAAGTTGTGGAGTCACCATCCCTGGAGGTATTTAAAAGATGGGCAGACATAGTTCTTTGGTACGGTTTAGGGATGGTTTTTGTCAGTGTTGGGTTGATGGTTATTGGACTAGATGATCTGAAAGGTCCCTTTCAACTCAGGCAATTCTATGACTTGGTCTGAGAAGCATCTGAGCGAACAGAGGAAATATACACGGGGGTTGCAAATTGTAACTCCATTGTATCATTTGCCAGGCAAAAGTCTCTCTAAAACCTTGCCCTCAATATAAATGTGGCATGTTTTCCATTTTAAGGGATATTAAAAAGATCGAGATAGGGAGACAGATGATGCAATCACAGAAAGTCTTTCTGCAGCAAAGTGGTGATAAAAGCGCTTTGTGTCATGATAATGCCTGTGTGTTGTGCAGAAATTTCAGTTCCTTAGACAGAAATGTACCAAATACTTTAATTTTCTTCTTGCTTTCCTCATCTTTCAGCAGATGAAGATATCTGTCTCTGGAGATGCAAAGCTAACAGTTTGACTGGGCTGATGAGTTTGGTTGCTGCATCTTGAACATTTAATTTTTCCTTATGCTCTGGCGTCTGTTATTCTGCAGCACAATCACACTGAATATCAATTAGGAGGCGGGAAGATGATGGTGGAAAACTTGGGGGGGGGGGGGGAGACGAGATGCTGAGTGGGATTTTGGCCGTTTTGGGTGGAGAATGCATGTTTGCTCTGCATTCTTTCTCAACTTTGAAAACACTCCAGTGTTAAACTACACATGCTCTGCGTGTAGTTCTGAGATCCTCGTGATTTGCGTTCCTCTGTCTCCAAAATCACAATAAATGGGCTCTTCCACGGGCAGGAAGACAGGACGAGTGGTCAGTGCCAAAGTTGTTCAGCAGATGGTGCTTGAGTAGTGAGCAACATCATCGTTTCAAGTGTAAGGCACATAATGGATGTCTACCGGCCCGGCAAACGAGACCCCCAGTGGTACCCACATGCTTCCATCTCCCATCCTGCGAGATGCTGCCATCTGTCAAGACACCCAGCCAGGCCCCAAATAAATAAATAAATCCCTTTTCCCCCTTCTTTCCAAAGCTCTTGCCATCTCCTGGGTTCAATAAAAGCCGTGTGTATATACGCTGCGTGGGGGGCATGTGTCTGTAACACGTGCGACGGAGGGGGAAAATAGAGATGCAAATATAAGAGATGCAGCTTTGGGTTCTGTCACTTGGGACAGACGATGCCAATGGATGGTAAACATTTTCAGGAAAATAGTGTGTACTTTTGTAAGTGGATAGGGCACCAAGCGTAAACGGTAGTGGCTCTTATCCTGAATTAATCTCCTCTCTCCCTGTCTGTCGGCAGAGTGTGACAAGCTGCGGCGGGATGGCTACCGGAGCTCCCAGTATTACTCTCAGGGCCCCACCTTCTCCTCCTCCTCCTCCTCCAGCGCCATCTGTGGAAGTTACCAGGACGATTATGAAGAAATTGAGCAAAAGGTAATGGTTGGGGTGGGGGGGGGAGAAAAGTGCTGGAAAGAATACACTCTTGGTACAGTTTAATTGCCTGCCGTAACATTGTTCAAATAAGGTAGGGTTTTTAGAAGATTGTAAAGATGCTTATTCCTTTGAATTACAGTGGTGGGATGTCATCTGACTTCTGTAGTCTCTTAAAAAGTTCAGGTTCTACCTATGCATTTATGTGAAGTTCCCCCTGGCACGATAAAGGTGTGAAAGCCGACAGGAGTTTGGTGGTGTTCTGGAGGGAAGACCCCATGGAGGGCAGCTGGTTTGGATCTGTTAAGTGTTTACGTTGAATTTCACTGAATTTCACTGAATTTCTAGAGTTGGAAGGGACCATAGAGATCATCTAGTCCAACTCCCCTGCTGAAGCAGGATTGCCTAGAGCTAGAGCATGTTACTCAGGACTGCACCCAGGCGGGTCTTGAAAATCTCCAGAGAAGGGGACTCCACACCCTCCCTGGGCAGCCTGTTCCAGGGCTCTGTCACCCTCACCGTGAAGAAGTTTCTCCTCATATTTGAGTGGAACCTCTTATGTTCCAACTTGTGCCCGTTGCCCCTCGTCCTCTCAGTGGCAGGAAGAGTTGGTCACCAGCCATCGGTGGGTTCTCATTGTAACTGTGACACGTGCCCACTCTGAACTGCTGAGACAGGCGGTTACGCAGCTTCATTAGGTAGAGGCTTTGTCCTGATGCACCACAACTCTTTGCGTAAAGGCATCCAGGAGAATGAAAGGTTGCCCACTACGTTGGGTTTATCAGCTTTCTTCTAGTTTTGCTTCGTGGTTTTCACGTTTTTGTGCCCACATCTCAACTCTGTGGACACTTGGCTTAGAATCTAGAAATGAATTAAATCGAGAAAAGGAAGGGATAGTTGAGCAAAAATCCCAATCAAGTTTTCAAGACATATTGTTATATAGACATTAATTTATATATATGCCCACATCTCAACTCTGTGGACACTTGGCTTAGAATCTAGAAATGAATTAAATCGAGAAAAGGAAGGGATAGTGGAGCAAAAACCCCAATCAAGTTTTCAAGACATATTCTTACATAGACATTAATTTATATACACTTCAATTATAAAACTAGAAAGCTGCATTAGTGTTCTAAAGAAATTTTGCTCCCCTGTCATTACCTTGCCCTGTTGTGCCTGTGGGCTCTGAAAGAGAACCTGACTTTGATGTTGGGGGAATGGACTTTACTGCTGGGGTGGAAAACAAGATCCCTGAACCCTGGCTGTCCAAACCTGAATTGCTGGGGTTCCTGGGATTTTCAAGATAGATAATTGTAGAATACTTTGCCCCAAACTGTTGCTCGGAGAGTGGGAGGATATGCTTGATTGTAACACAGTTTAATTTCTTTGAATCGTTACTAAACCATATGCCCCTCTGCAGCGTGGACTGTCTTTCTGTTCAAATCCTGAGAACTCATTTCAAAGGGGACAGTGTTTTGGGTTCTGCCCTCTGTGATTTTTTTATCACATAATAAAAGGTGCCATGGAATCTGCAGAGCCTCCCATCCAGGTGGTGATTGTGCTATATCTGTGTGTTGGCAGGGAATGTTAGAGCATCTTGTTTAGCCGTGTGTGGTATGTACTGGCAGTGAGCAGAGAATGTAAAGCACATTCGTACCCGTGGAATACATTACAGTGATAATTTGCAAAACCTTCCTGAAATCAGTGGAATTCTGATTTCTACTGGGAAATTAACACATTGTTGCTATTAATGTACTGCATATATATACATACATATATGTTAGCAACTGGTCTTAGCCAATGCTGTGCAGCGTATGACCATCTGCACATGGAAAACTAATGTAACATTTAAAAAATATAAATACACTTCTTTTAACACTTGGAGTGAGAGCACATAGGCATGGGTAAGACCTCTTGGAGACTAAGAGCTGTCATCCTTATCTTGGTTAAGGGGTTTTGTGAACATTAACATAATGTGTTACTAACAATTTCTATGCATTCTGAAAAGAATTAATGCCACTAATTATGCTTCAAGGATAGGATGGCACTTCCATTTCAAATTGGAATAGTTTCCTTTAAATATTTTTAGCTGAAAGGATGATTCAGAGGTGTGGAGAAGATAGTTGCCAAATTCAGAGTTTTAGATGTTACTGATTATCATAGAATCATAGAATTGCCCAGGCTGGAAGGGACCTCCAAAGGTCATCTAGTCCGACCCCCCCGCAGTCAGCAGGGACACCCCCAACTAGACCAGGTTGCCCAGGGCCTCGTCGAGCCTCACCTTGAATATCTCCAGGGAAGGGGCCTCAACCACCTCCCTGGGCAACCTGTTCCAGTGCTCCACCACCCTCACAGTGAAGAACCCTCTCCTATTCTCCAGTCTAAATCTGTTCCCCTCCAGCTTGAAGCCATTTCCCCTCATCCTGTCACTGCAGGCCTTTCTAAACAGGCTCTCCCCAGCCTTCCTGTAGGCTCCCTTCAGGTACTGGAAGGCCGCTATTAGGTCTCCCCGGAGCCTCCTCTTCTTCAGGCTGAACAACCCCAGCTCCCTCAGCCTGTCCTCGTAGCAGAGGTGCTCCATCCCCCTGATCATCCTTGTGGCCCTCCTCTGGACCCGCTCCATCAGGTCCGTGTCCTCAGAACCTTAACCCTCCAGCTCTGAAAGGCATTAATCCCTTGTAAAAGGTATCGTGATTCTCCCTTCATATTGTACAACTCAATATTTAGTGGTTTCCTTTGGACAGGATCTTTTTGAAGTTGCCTTTTTTTGTAACGGCCTGAAATTTTACTCTTTATTTAAAAGAACACTTAACCACAACAGATCTCTCAACTTGAATTATAATCTTGCTGGTAGTGTGCCAAGTAATTCTAATAAGTCTTACGCCTTGAGCGAGTCATATTTCAGCTGTCAGAAGAGTTCTCCAGTGACAGTGTGGAACTGGGGTCACCCAATTCCCGTGATTCACAATGTGAACTCCTCACCACCAGATGAAAGCTTTGTAGCTTTGTTGTCTATTCAAAGGAGAAGAAAAGAAAAGAAAAAAAAAAAGCTAACATTTAAATTCTGTACATGCAGTACTTAATAGTTGAAATTTGAGAACTGCAGAATAATGATGGATGGATGAATAGCTATTTACTCTTCGGAAATTTGCTTCTAAGTTGACATAATTGCTAACTCGCAGAAAAACTATGTTTTGCTGCACGGTGATTTCACAAAGGAAACCCATCTTTACCTACTCTTTTTAATCTGCTTTAAAAAAAAAAATGTAGCCAGATAATTTGTCTGTCTTCGCCAGAGACATAGTATGAAACCATGGCTAGGGGATATGAGAGGAGACCTCCATCCACATTCTCGTGTTTTGTGGAGGTGGGTGTCTGTCAGTAGAGGGTAATACTCAAAGCTCGTGGTTCAGCAGGAGTCCTAGAAAATGTCTACAATAAACACATTTGCTGTTTTGAAGGAAAACCACTTGGGATAAGCGGGCAAGTTTGCCCAACTCAAAACCAAGCAAATAAAATTAGAAAACACAGAAAGCTGAAGTCTCTGAGGGATATAAAATTAAGTTCTCGGAACTGCCCTTTAACTCTTAGGTTGCTTCTTACAAGTTAGAATCACAGAAGCACACAGGGTTGGCAGGGACCTCTGGAGATCATCTAGTCCAACCCCCTTGCCAAAGCAGGTCCACCCAGAGCAAGTTACATTAATGGAGCACAGACCATGCCTCGCTGCAGTGTATTTCTGCTGATCCTAATTGAGTTTGTTGGAGATTAAATTGGTTTATCTGGATTTTACATCTCGGTGCTGTGACCAGTGTCCTTCTTTCTCATCTCTCACATGGCACTGTTGCTGGTGTGACTTGGGAGCTATTCCTGGCCATCAGTATTGCTCCTGTTTTCCGTGTGTCAAAGATGCGTTGAGATGTCGCTTTCAAACTCTGCTTCCCCTTATGTTCTGAAATGTATATATTACGTGCATTAAATGTATTTGTCTTCTGTGTGTTGGTTTTTTTTTTTCTCATTCTTTTTTTCTTTCCCTTTTTTAGCACTCATTCTCTTTGTTTCTTTTTGTCTCACTCAACAGTCTAGTCTGTTAGACTGCATCTCTCAGTCTTGCGCTAGCGCCTGCTGTAACTTGGTTCCCTGGAGCAACAAGGTACCTTTGCCCACGAGTGGGACCATCCAGCTGCTGCCCCTGCAGCTTGATGGTACTTGTAGCATTTAGCATATTGTGCAATCTCATTCTGCTCTTAGCCTGCTTTAAAATAAATAAATAATTAACTAAATCAGATGCTCAACAGAAGAATGCCATGCCAGGTTTGTTTCCTTTGTTTTTCCTCGTTATTCCCTTTTGTCCACAGTCCAATATCCTCTGTTTACTTGGTTCACTGACATTTTTAAATTCTTTTTTTTGTCTGTTAGCATTTGTGTCCTTTGAAACCCCTCCTCCAATGAACACTGTGTTTTATTTAATTGGCTGCTTCATTAGTTTTTAATTAGCCGAAGAAAAACTTTGACTAATTTGGAGTAATGTGGAATTTTTAAATGATGAATGTGTGCTATAGAGAGTACTTGCTCCCAGGCATGCACTATATCATGGCTTTATTCCATCTATGAGAATGTTTGTACGCCAAAAACTCATGGTATTTTTCCCCAGGTCTTGTCGCTTGGTTTATGAACTTTGCCTTGATACAGTCTGTTAAGCTTCAGGTGCAAAAACATCCATTTTGCTTTTTTTGTGAGGAAAAAAAGGCTGGTTTTGCCACTGCACTCGGCCAAACTGTTGGTTGTCTCTTGAATATCTGCAGGCTGCTTAGTGTCTTAAGTGAAAACAAATGCATTAACTGTGTTGGCTTGAGGGGTTTGAGGAGGTTTTGCTTGATGCCAAGAGGGGCTGAAGCAGTTGGTGCTCCAGTTTGGAGGTGGGACCACCCCAGGAGCCCTGTGGCATGGGCTCTGGCAGAACTGGAGATCCCTTTAGGTGGTGGTGCCCTCAGCTGGCCTCC